TATTTGCCTGCATCTACAATTTCTAATATAAGAAAGCTGATAGAAACACTATTTTTTTATCCGCTTCTGCTTATGTAACTATCATCTTGTCTCGTTGCGTCTCGTCGTCTTCAGGCCAGGGCAGCAGAGAGACATGCTCTCTTCAGTTTTTCCTGGGTTGTCCTCTAGACCTCCTTCCTGTGGGACATGCCTGGAAAACCTTCTCAGTGAGGCGTTCAGGGGAAAATCTGAAAAAGATGTCCCAGGCAGCTGACTCCCTTTTATGTGGATGGGAAGCAGCTTTACTCAAGCCTCTCCCAAATGAGCTCCTCACCCTATCTCAAAGGGAGTGCCAAGCCACCCTGTGGAGAAACCTCATTTTTTCAACTCCGCTATCTCTGCCATGTCTGTCTCGCCTACTGTTTACGCGAGTATGTGTGTGTGTAAGCGGAAGGGGGTAGTAGGGCTAAAGGAAGCGAGGTAGGAGGACAAAATAGGTTTAGCACCACCGCAGCACGGAAGTCAGAATTACATCTAGGAGCAAATGGATAAAAATAGACCGGAGGGAAAAGAAACATGAATTCATACTCTTCTAGACGTGACGCTTCATCAGATCGTCGGCTGTTGGATCAATGCATCGCTATAAAACGATTATTATTTACTCTCCTAATGGCGGTGTAGGCGCAGCATACAAAACTGGTCCCGAAGGCTACTTTTACACAGCAAGTGATCCAATTCTAACTTTTTTTTCCCAAACGCGACCTGTATCTGATCTTTTCATGACAGTCTGAACAATGATCTGACTTTTTTCCCCAATTTGATCCAGGCCACTTGTCCTCAATCCAGTGCGTATCTGATCTTTTCAAATGAAACCTGTGTGTGAACGTCATTGTGTCCTCTGCTGCGCAAGCAGGACACTAGAGTTGTGTGATTGCCGTGCACACAGGAGATCACATACATGTCACATATATTTGGAAATTTAAAGAACCTCTATTAATTTTGCTAGTGATATTTTTAAATGAAACCCAAATCTGGGGTAAAAACTGTGCTTTTAACAGTTGAACTAGAGCAAAAGTCAAAAAGCAGTATTTCTGGTGTTGTTGTTATGTTACATAACAAAGGCTGTCGAAATAGTAAAGCCCTCTGTTGTATTTTGCAG